AATTGGAGGTGGTATGAGAAATAGAACCTGAACCATTCAAGGACCGAACCTTGAACGTTGAGGTGAGAGAAGAGACGGTCGAGGAGGATGGAGTGGTCCATGGTACTAAAGGCAGCAGAGAGGTCGAGGAGGAAGAGGAGGTAGAGGGAGCCTGTTCACAGATGGATAAAATTTTGTTTGTCACCTTGACCAAAGCAGTTTCCGTACTGTGAGCAGCACAGAAAGCTGATTGGAGGGGCTTATGAAGGGAATGGTAGGAGAGGAATGAGCGAAGTTGGGAAACAACAACTCTTTCAAGGACCTTCAAAAGAAAAGGGAGGCTGGAGATGGGCCAGTAGGTAGAAGGCAGGGATGGGTCCAGGGAAGGTTTTTTCAGGATGGGGGTGATTATAGCTGTTTTTAGGGGGATGGGAATGGTACCGGATGAAAGGGAGAGATTGATGGTGTTGGAGAGTAATAATAATAATAATAATAATAATAATAATAATAATAATCCTTGCATTTGATATAGCGCTTTTCATGTCAGGAGGACATCCCAAAGCGCTTCACAGAACACACTGTAAAGTGAATTGACTGTATATTTGTGGGCGAACGCGGCAGCCAATTGCGCACAGCAATGTCCCACAAACAGTCGTAGAATGAAAATGACCAATTTATTATTGTTTTTGGTTTTGGAGGGATTATTATTAGGCTCTGTGTGGAGTAAGGAAACTTGCCCAAGGTTTCGCCCTGACCTGCCTGGAATTGAACTCGGGTCTCTCACTTGCAAAGCGAGTGCTCTAACCACTGAGCTACAGGACTCCATGAGTAAAGTGGCGAGGAGGTGGAACTGGGAGGTAAGGAGTGGGGTGGGGATGGAGTCAAGGGAGCAAGTGGTATGTTTCATGCTGCAAATAGTGGTCATGATAGAGGAGGGGGAGACAGATTCGAAAATGTGGATAGAGGAATTGGTAATAATAATAATGGTAGGGGTCAGAATGTGTTGGGAGGGGGGCAGGGAAGATGGGGAGGGAGTGGCAATTGGGAAGGCAGAGGTAGCTGAACAGATCCCCTCGATTTTGGACTTGAAGAAATCCAGCATCTCCTCAGTCAGAGCTTGAGGAGAGAATGGGTGAAGCTTGAGAGGGTGGACAGAGGAGCCAGTTGGTGGTGGAGAATAAAAGCCTGGAGAATACTCAACACGAGGACCATCCGAGATCCTATGCTTAATCCCATATTCCAGCCATTTAATAATAATAATAATCCTTACATTTGATATAGCTCGTTTCATGTCTTCTAGACGTCTCAAAGCGATTCACAGAATATGCTATAAAGTGAATTGACTATATTTGTGGTCAAAACTTTTCCCCATATCCCACAATTTGATTCTCCCTCAACCATGTGTCCAGTCTTTTTGGAACGTTGCTTGGTTGCCGCCCTAACAACCGACTGTGACAGAGAATTCCACACTCCCACCTCTTTGTGTCATTCTTATGTACACATATTTGTTTACTGTAAGCAAAGGTGTCAGTCTGGCTCAATTGGTAGCACATTCATCCCTCAGGCAATTAGGTTGTGGGTTCAATTCCCAAGTTTCAGCTCATGGTCTAGGTAGGCCATTGGTGGGCCAAACTCAACAAAATGCATTTTCTTGATTTGTGCCAAAAATCTGGCCCACAGGCCATGGTTGGCCACCACTGGTCTTGGCTGAAACTCCATTGCAATGTTGGTTGCTTCGTCAAAGGTACAATCCTTCAGATGCGACATTAAACTGACCGCCTGTTTAGGCAGAGATCGCATGGCATTACTCGAAAAGAGGAGTTTCTCTTGGCCAAGAATCACCCATATATATTTGGTCATTCACCTTATGGATGTTTGTGGATCATTGCTGTGTACAAATTCGCAGCTGTATTTGCCTGCAAAATACACAGTCTCTGTACTCTAGTGACTCCTATGAAGCGTTCTGATATATTTTAATGTGATAAGGCATTATATCCAATGTAAGGATTATTAAAGCTGAATTCAACATTCAGAGGAACGGGTAACGGACATGGTGTGGAAGCAGCAGGGTGGGTGATGTTAATGCTGATTTGTTGTTGTGCAGCATGTTCAGCTGTCTGTTAGCTAGAGTTAGATATTTCCTAAGTACAATGTGCACTTTGCCCTCATCAATGAAACAAACATTCTTTGTCTCATTTTAAATTGAGAGCAAGCAGCTGCCTGACCCCAAACGTGCTTGTGTGTAATAAACACAAAGCTGTGCACAATTCAAGGCTCGTGTGCGACATGTCAAAACATTTTAAAAATGCTTCAGCACAGTACTGCCTCCATGCCATTCTCCCACTTCATCATTCATAACATCCAATTAATTAAGAACACCGCCACCCTTATGCTCAACCGCACCAAACTCTGTAGCCTCATCACCTCTGTCCTTGCCAGGCGACACTGGCTCTCAATTACAGACCGGATCGATTTCAAGATCCGACCATGTACAAATGACTTCATGCCCTGCCACCTCCCTATACCCCACTCCACTATCTGCTCCACACTCCACGAGCCCCTTCAATCGGTTTCTCTTTCACCTCCTCCCATACCACTGTCCAGCACCACAAACACAGTTTCCAAGTGAGACAGCGATTTACGTGTACTACCACCAATGTAGTTTACTGAATTCGCAGAATTTACTGAATGTGGTCTCCTCTACACTGGGGAGACCAAACACAGATTGGGTGATTGATTTGCCGAACACCTCCGTTCTGTCCATAAGCACAACCCAGAGCTTCCAGTCTCTTGCCACATTAACTCTACCTCCCACTCATACTCTGACCTTTCCATCCATGGTCTCCTACCCTGTTCCAATGAACCACAGCGCAAGCTCAAGGAACCTCACCTCATCAATCCGCTAGGAACCTTTCAACCCTCTGGCCTCAATATTGATTTAAATTATTTCAGACCATAACAACTCAGCTTCCCCTCCCCCTCTTCTGTGATCATTACCATATCATCTGGGTTCCCAACACACCGTTTCTCTCTCTGCCTGTTTTGTTGCAATCCTCCCCCTTTGTTTTCAATCATTAATACATCTTTAACCCATCATCCCCTGTTTTCTACCCCATTTTCTTCTTTGTCTTCCTTGCCCTGCCTCCCCCCCTCTGTTAGTTCTTAAAACCAACATGCCCCAGTTCCCAGACTTCTGGTTTTGCTCCACTACTTGCTACTTCTGCTCAGTTGGCTCCGGCCTCCTGCCAGTACCAGCACTGTAATTGTTTGAATCCCGCAAGCAGAAGCGGTCTTCTGTTCGTGGGATTCAGACAATCTGAGTCCAAGTTGATATACCTGGAAACTGTGAAGGCAGGAAAAATGGTGAGGCTGCTCAGCATGGCGCTGGCAGGCACTAGGAGAGTTGTGAGTCAGAAGTCCACACGAAAATTGTATTTTTGGTTGAGGCTTGGTCCGACATATAGTTACGGCTTGTATACTTTCACATTTACTGATAAAAAAGATCCTAAAGTAGGGTGACCATACATCCCCGATTTCTGATGAGGTCAAATTTGAGTTCAGCAACAAACTGAGCATAACATTCCGAATAATAATAATAATCCAACAAGCTTCTCCCGTCACTATCAGCATCAGAAATTGTGGAAAGTTCATTTTTTAAAAATATATGTGTCTCCAGATTTGCTTTCCAAAATACGGTCAACCAATCCTAAAATGAATTACCTATTCACTGTAAATAGGTTCTGGAATGCCATCCCGTACAACCCCCAACTCATCCCCCTCCACTCCCTTGCCTCCTTCAAGACCTCTTCCCCCCCCCCCCATGCCATGCCCTCCACACTCCGCTGCTCGGGTCCGAAACACTGGCAGTCCAGCGCCTTGGGATGTCCTCCCAGCGTGAAAAGTACACTACACAAATAATAATAATCCTTGCATTTGATATAGCGCTTTTCACGTCGGGAGGACGTCCCAAAGCGCTTCACAGAACACACTGTAAAGTGAATTGACTGTATATTTGTGGGCGATCGCGGCAGCCAATTGCACACAGCAAAACAGTCGTGGATTGAAAATGACCAATTTATTATTGTTTTTGTTTTGGAGGGATTATTATTAGGCTCTGTGTGGAGTAAGGAAACTTGCCCAAAGTTTGGCCCTCTGCCTGGAATTGAACTCAGGTCTCTCGCTCGCAAAGCGAGTGCTCTAACCACTGAGCTACAGGACTCCGAATGGAATTTGGTCGTTATTGTTGTTGGAACAGACTGTTCGATGGTTTAATGTCTCAATGAAGAGCAATCACCCAGTGTGGCAGGGCTGGGCCGGGCAGGGCTGGGCCGGGCAGGGCTGGGCAGGGCAGGGCAGGGCTGGGCAGGGCAGGCCACGGCTGGGCAGGGCAGGGCAGGGCAGGGCCGGGCAGGGCAGGGCAGGGCAGGGCTGGGCTGGCTGGGCCGGGCTGGGCCGGGCAGGGCCGGGCAGGGCAAGGCTGGGCTGGGCAGGGCTGGGCCGGGCAGGTTAGGGCCGGGCAGGGCTGGGCAGGGCTGGGCAGGGCAGGGCTGGGCAGGTTAGGGCAGGGCTGGGCAGGGCCGGGCAGGGCAGGGCTGGGCAGGGCTGGGCAGGGCAGGGCTGGGCAGGTTAGGGCAGGGCTGGGCAGGGCCGGGCAGGGCAGGGCTGGGCAGGGCAGGGCCGGGCAGGGCCGGGCCGGGCTGGGCAGGGCAGCGCAGGGCAGGGCTGGGCAGGGCTGGGCAGGGCAGGGCAGGCCATGCTGGGCAGGGCTGGGCCGGGCCGGGCAGGGCTGGGCAGGGCAGGGCAGGGCAGGGCAGGGCAGGGCAGGGCAGGGCACCCTGGGCTGAGAGGTGGGCTCTCATGGCGACTGAACCCACTGCTCTGGTTGAGAGCACACTGCAGGGAGGTGAGGCACAATGCATGCCGGGCACCGTAGGCCCAGCCCAGGTGCAATATTACTACACATCCCGGCAGGCACCGCGACGACGCAGGCGCAGAGCGCAGCTCGGTGGGGGGAGGGGCGAGCGGGGAGCTCGGCGCAGGCGCGGTGCAAGCGCAGCGGCGTCATTGGTGAGGGTCGGTCGGACACGCGGATCGGCCGCATGCACTGAGGTGGGTGTTGGGCCCAGGAGAGCCCGGGAGAGGGGCCGGTAAGGCCTGGGAGAGGAGTGGGAGGCCAGGTCGTGAGGAAGGAGGCGGGGAGCGGGGCCTCGGGTGCCCTGGCTGTGAGGCGAGCGGAGCTGGAGGTCGGGCTGAGCGGCCCAGAGAGAGAGCCGCCGCGCCGCGCCTCACCCCACCGCCGCTCCCGCCGCCCCGCGCGCGCTCTCTCTCTCTCTCTCCGCTTCAGTCGGTTGTTATGCGGATTATTAATATTTATAATAATAAGCGGCGACCGGAGCCGCCGCCGCCGTCTTCGGGCCGGTCAGCGCTGTGCTCATTTAGCCTCATTGCCGAGCTGTGCCTGAGGGCGGCGCGGCGCGGCGGCGGCTCCTTCCTGGTGCGGTTCAGTCCGGTTTTCGCTCACTCACAACAACGGCGAGAAGGCTTTTATCCCGAATTATTTCCTTTCCGACCTTTTTTTTTGAAATATATATGTACGTAAAATATATATGTGTCTATAGAGATAGTTTTTTTTAAAAAAAAAGAGAGCAATGTGTTACGCATCCGAGAGTGGGTATTTCCACGGTGTGAGTTTGCATTCTCCGGTTAATTTAAATCCATTTTTTTTTGTTGTTTTTTTTAAAAGAAAATGTGTTTTTTTTTTCTCGATTGGAATTGTGGTTGGTCTTGTTCACACATCCCCCCCCACCCTACACCCCCCCCCATCCCCCCTCACCCTACACCCCCCCACATCCCCCCCCCACCCTACACCCCCCCCCATCCCCCCTCACCCTACACCCCCCCACATCCCCCCCCACCCTAAACGCCCCCCCACATCCCCCTTCACCCCCCCCACATCCCCCTTCACCCTACACCCCCCCCCATCCCCCCACACCCTACACCCCCCCACATCCCCCCCCACCCTACAGGCCCCCCCCCACATCCCCCCTCACCCTACACGCCCCCCCCACATCCCCCCCCACCCTACACGCCCCCCCCCACATCCCCCCTCACCCTACACCCCCCCATCCCCCCTCACCCTACACCCCCCACATCCCCCCCCACCCTACACGCCCCCCCCACATCCCCCCTCACCCTACACGTCCCCCCCCCACATCCCCCCTCACCCTACACCCCCCACATCCCCCCAACCCTACACCCCCCCACATCCCCCCAACCCTACACGCAGCCCCCCACATCCCCCCTCACCCTACACCCACACCCCACACTGCACGCCCCCCCCACATCCCCCCTCACCCTACATCCCCCCACCCTACACGCCCCCCCACATCCCCCCTCACCCTACACGCCCCCCCCACATCCCCCCTCACCCTACACCCCCCCAAACCCCGCCCCTTGTTTCCTCGAGTGCAGTACACATACGTGGGCATTAAAGTAGTAAGTCCTCCCCCTTTGTGCCCCAGGCACATTTAGCAACTTCCAGAATCTTCTTTTCCTGTAAACAGGTTTCTCTGAAAGCGGTTGCGACGTGCGGCCTGGGATCTTCCTATATATTTTTTTTAAAAAAACTTTTGTGACGGGGAGGGGGGAATGTTCAGATTTCGAAAAGGGACAGATCGCGAGTGGCTCAAATTGTCCAGGTGCATTCTCTCGTCTGCAACCACAATACTTGACCACAGAGCAATTCAAAACATTCTCATTTTTCTATATAAAAAAATGTGGATTGTTTGCAGGAAGGTTTGTCACCTGAAGTATATTTTAAATATCTGAAAGTCAGACATTAGCTAGCTGTTGCTAGCAACAACAACAACAAAATTACACTTGTGTAGCCCCTTTCACACTGGGAGAACTTCCCAAGGCGCTGGACAGTCAATGTTTCGGACGCGAGCTGGGGATCAGGGAGGATGGAGGGGCATGACCAAAGGCATGGTTGAAGAGGAAGGTCTAGAGACGGGTCTTGAAGGAGGCAAGGGAGGGGATGTGGCGGGGGACTGCGGGATGGAGTTCCAGAGGTTCAGGGCAGAGTGGCAGGAGGCCTGCGCCAATGGTGGGGTGGGCAAGGCGGGGGATGTGAAGCAGGCTGGATACCAGTAAGTAGAAGGAGCAGGCAGGTTGGTAGGGGTTTACACACAGGTGTGACCCTGTTTTGACCACGTTTTACTATGCTATGCAGATAATTAATTGGTTACTGTTGATTAACTGCTTATTTGGAGATGTATGGCCAAGATCTCATATAGCGCAGCCTAAAATCGCTGTTAAATACTGTTCTTGTCTCCCATTTACCGCCTATTGGTCACGATTCCAAACAAATCTCTATTTTGGACAGCATTTCAATTGAAACGCATTCATGATTATTCACCTTATTAAGGATTTCATTGTTAACGTAGCCTTCCCTGGAGTATTTGATACAGTTCCGGATTGAGTGCCATTACTTGTTGTGGAGTTAATTTGCAATAACTGGTAATTCTAGGCATTTTACATTGACTGGATATCTGAAAGTACTTAATGCACTCAGGAATAAAGGAGGGTGAGGACAAAGGTGTTGCCTGAAAAATTTTCCCCTTTGCAACTTTTCCCCGGTCCCAATATCATAGCACTCCCCTACCACCACCGGTAGAGCCTCTTCCAAGTTTCTGAAATGGGCAAAGTGAAGTTTGTTGTTAGTAAATCAACAACAACCTGCACCCTCCCCGTGGTGTGGGGTCTCAGAATGCTAATCCAGCTCAACAACAACAACAACACTGGATAGCATTCTGGCAGTATATTGTCTCCCTTGTAATATGTGAGTCTGTGGTTGGAGGGTGAATGGTTAAGTACTCTGGGACTGGCCTTTTGGGAAATTATGTTCACTGTCACTGTTTAGATCTGTATCAGTTAGCCTTTGGCCTTGCTCATGCCAGAAGAAGTTCTATGTGCATAATGTATCTAGTTGAAATTAGAGCCTCGTATTTCATATTGAATTGTGTTTAAAGGCTTGTGTTGGGAATTTAATTTTAAAAAGTTCAAAAAGGGCTTAAATGCATTGAATGAATCATTCCAAAATGGCACTGGGTTCTTCTGCTGTTTGATTAAGATATTACACTGATTTTAAATCGGTAACATAATTTAACCAAGATCCAAAATGGCTACAGTGACACTATCAGTGATAGAGGTAGCCATTTTGGATGTTTTTTCCACATAAATGTCACTCAAGCTCATGCATAGCTAAAACTTGTAACATGCTGAACTGCTTTCTCCACATTTTTCTGCTTCTTTTGTAAGTGCTGACTCATGCTGAATTGCAGTTCCCAGGCCAAGTGAAAGTATCATGTTTCATAGGTGCAAGTAGTAGTTGTTGTTTAGTCTCTGGTTAGTATATTGAATTGTGAGGGGACATCACAGTTGAGACTAATCCTGCCTTCACCCTGAGTTCCCAGCCAGGAGGGATGACAGGAGCCAGGGGTGTATGGAAATCACAGGATAGTAGTCAGAAGCAGGAACTCTTTAGTGATTTTTCTGCTTTAGTGGGTGTGAGCCTCGCTCAGTTGGTATCACTCTTACATCTGAGTCTGAAGGTGGTGGGTTTAAGCCTCATGCCAGCACTTGGAACTTGCACTAAACCCATGACTCACTGCACTAACGTGGGGCAGATCTGGCCTGGCAAGCTGGAATCTCCGGCTACCTGCTAATTTTAATTCTAATATTTCTAATAAATAAAATAGTTTTTTTTTAAAAAATCCCCTAACATTTAAAACGAATAAAACTGATTTTTACATAACTAAAAGGCAAAAAAAAAAGTTATGTACTCACCACTGATGCAATGTAGCTCTGTTGATACCTACGTCTAAACCAATAAGTGTGGACTCCTGTAGCTCAGTGGTTAGAGCATTCGCTTTGCAAGCGAGCGACCTGGGTACGTTTCCCGGCAGGGTGAAACCTTGGGCAAGTTTCCTTACTCCACCTGCCTGATAATAATCCTTCAAGAAAAAAAACAATAATAAATTGGTCATTTCAATCCATGAATGTTTGTGGGACACTGCTGTGCGCAATTGGCTGCGCATTTTGCCTACAAATATACAGTCAATTCACTTTACAGTCTATTCTGTGAAGCACTTTGAGACGTCTAGAAAACATGAAAAGCACTATATCAAATGCAAGGTTTATTATTATTAAACTGTGGGCATCACTTGGGGCTGTCGGGAATTTCAAAATGTGGGGTGGATTATTAGGGTGTGGAAATTTTTTCTTGAACCCTGTCTGGCTAATTCTGAACTCTCAGGCCAAGTTGGCCTGAGAGTTCAGAATTAGCCAGACATGTTCTGTCTCTGGCCAGCATATTGAATTGTGAGGGGGCATTTACAGTGAGACTTAAGATGACACAATGCACTTCTGCATGTTCAGGTGGCCGTTATGGCACAAAGATCTTATGGCACTACATGAAAAGGGAAGGGAGTTTTTCCTGGTGTCCTGGCCAACAATTACCCCAAAATAAAATTGGTCATTCACTTGGTCATGATTTTTGTGTGACCTGTTTTGCAGAAAATTGGCTGCCGCCTTTGCCCACAAAAACCCACAGTTACTGCACTTTACAGTATATTCATTGAAACATTTCCAAAGTAAACGCGCTATACGAAATGTAATGAATATTATTATTAATTGGCTATGGCCAATTATAGCCCTCAACTATTTTGTCCTAGCCGACAAACCTCCAGATAAAATTAGTCATTTGCTAAATGGCTACTTGTGGGATGGTGCTGTGAGCAAATTGACTCCAGCGTTTGCTCACAAAACATTCAGTCACTATACTTTACAGTGAAACCTTTGCAACGCTTTGAGACATCCTCCCGTGATAAGGGCTATATCAAATCAACAGATTATTTTATTATTAGTTTAACTTTGAAGCCTGAGAACTTTCAGCCAATCTTCTGCTGTGTGGAATTCCATCCCTGTGGCTTGCTGTTGCCACCCGTACCTTTTAATTCTGCCTCAAGACTTACCCCTTTGACTATGATTTTGGTTATCTTTTCCCCCATCTTCTTTAGCCACCCTGCCCCAAATTTGGGTGCCAATCTAGCCATTTAAAGCGATATGACACATCCTCCTGACATGAAAGGAGCTATGTACAGGTTAAATTGCATTGTATTTAATTACCAAAGAGGGAGATTAGGAGGAACTCCTTTATGCAAAGGATTGTCAGGATGGCGGATGGGCTACTGGGAGTGGTGGTCAAGGCAGGATCCATATTAGCTTTCAAAAGAAGGAACTAGATAGTTCCTTTGGATGAGTTGTCAAATCGAGGGCCAGTCTGCCTGTTCAGGTGGATGTTAAAGAAGGATTGGCACCACAGCACTATTAGTAAAGAGAAGGTAGTTTCCCCTATACAAAGTTCACAATTCACTTCCTGGTTTGTGGGATGTTGCTGTGCACAAAATTGGCTGCCGAGTGTGCCTACAAAATCAGCAGTTACACCTTACAGTAAATCCTGTGAAGTTCTTTGAAGCTTCCTTCTGGTGAGAAAGGCACTTTAACAAATGTAAGACCCATCACAACTACCTCGGTGCCACCGCACTCTCCTGGTTCGAATCGTGCTTGATTCACCACCTCAATTTTGTCTCCTTCAATGTTTTCTGCTTGTACAGTCACATGTGGGGTACCTCAAGCCTCTTATCTTCTACATCCTGGATCTTACATTTGTTATAGTGCCTTTCTCGCCAGAAGGAAGCCTCAAAGAACTTCACAAGATTCATGTAATGTGTAACTGCTTATTTTGTGGAGTCCTGTAGCCCAGTGGTTAGAGCACTCACCTCACAAGCAAGAGACCTGGGTTGATTCTCGGCAGGGCGAAACCTTGGGCAAATTTCCTTACTCCACATGCCTGATAATAATCCCTCAAGAAAAAAATACAATAATAAATTGGTCACTTCAATCCATAATTGTTTGCGGGACACTGTTGTACGCAATTGGCTGGTGTGTTTCGCCGACAACAGTATACAGTCAATTCACTTTATTCTGTGAAGCACTTTGAGACGTTTAGAAGACATGAAAAGCGCTGTATCAAATATAAGGATTATTATTATCCTCCTCTTCCTCGTCTACATGCTTCCTTTTGGTAATATTACCAGATATGAGGTCAACGGGAATGACACCCAATTTTACTTTTCCATTTCTAGTCCCAAGTTCACTGATGTTCTGTTTTTCTGCCTGTCAGGCGTCAAAGCCTGGATGAGCATCAACTTTTTGCAGCCTACAATACAAAATTACATTTGCATAGAGCCTTCTACGTTGAGAGGATGTCCCAGGGCATTGGATAGTCAGGTATTGGGACTCAAGCTGGGGGTTGGGATCGGAGAGCGTGGGAGGGTAGGAGGGTGGCCAAAGGCTTGGTCGAAGAGGAGGGTTTTGAAATGCGCCTTGAAGGAGGCGAGGGAGGGAGCGAGGCGAAGGGATTGAGAGATGAAGTTCCATAGGGTGGGGGCAGAAAGGCTGGAGGTCCGACCACTGATGGTGGGGCAGGCTGGGTGGGGGACATGGAGCAGACTACAGCGTGCTGAGTGGAGGGAGCAGACAGGTTGATATGGAGTCAACAGATTGCAGAGGTAGGGAGGGGCAAGACTGTGGAAGGCTTTGAAGTCGAGAGCAAGGATTTTGAGCTCTTATTGTCTGGTGGATGGGAAGTCAGTGGAGCAAGCTGGAGGTGATGGGGTCGCAGAGCCTGGTGCGGGAATGAACATGATCTGCAGAGTTCTTGATGATCTGCAGCTTGTACAGGGAAGCTCAACAGGATAGAAGCTGTCCTCCTTTGCTCTTGCTAATGTTGCCTCATCTCCATCTCTGAATCCTCAAACTCCCTGGCTTATCACAAACTTACTGAAACAGTGCACGCCCTTGCAGTTGTTTGATCCTCGGCTGTCCTTCCTACCAGATATTCCATCCCCAACCAAGATTGATTTCCTTCACCTCCGCTACATTGTCCGCCTCCAACCCCAGCTCAACCAAGTGCTACCGAAACCCTCATCGCTTTTATGGTCTTGCATCTCGATTTTCAAATGGGTTCCTTGCTGGTTTCTCCAATTCCACCATCCAAAAGGACCAACTAATAAGGAACATCAACTTATGTATCCTCATATGCACCAAACTCCATGCACCCATCACCCCCATCCTTGCCAAATTTCACTGGTTTCCTGTCTCCAAATGGATCGACTTCAAATTCTCAACCTGATATATAAATCCCTTTGTGCTCTAGAATCCCTTTGTGCTCTGGAATCCTAATTTACTGATCGGCTTGTATCCCGCTCCTCTGCCCACCACGTTTGTTCAGCTAACATAGGCCTTCTGCAAGACCCCAGCTTGTCCATGCTATCATCAGTGGCTGAAGCAACAGATCCACAGCTGTAATCTCTGTAACTCCTTGCCTCTATCCCTCTGTTTTACCACTTTATCTTGAAATTCTACCTCTTCTACTGCACCAATGATTTCTTCTTCCTTGAACCTTCAGATCTCACCTTAAGACCTTCCTCTTCAATCATGCCTATGGTCAGCTCCCTCTCCCCTGCTGTTCATTCCTCCAAAGCACTACCCCCGCGTGTAGGTGCTATATAAATGCAAGTTGTTGTTGCTCTACTTCTCACTCCCATCAGTGTGAAGCCCTTCAAGATGTTATCCTATGTGAATATAATCTTAAATTAATGTAGATGGGAATCAAAAAATGAGGGTCTCAGCTGACAGTGGATGGGGCGGGGTTGTAGTGGTGGAAGTGGGCAATGTTGAAGACAATGTGATGGAAAACTGAGTGAATGAAAGCCCCAATTTCATCATAGCATTGTTCCACAAACAATGGAGTGAATTAATTTTTCTGGAGGGCTGTTGGCCAAAACATCAGGAGAAACTCCCTTCTCTTTTCTGCAGTGCTTGGAATCTTTAACATCCACCTGATTACGGATAGAAAAAACTTTTTTAAATGTCTATTTGAAAGTTGGCACCTCTGACAATAAAGGGCTCCCCCAGCATGCCTTTAAGTGTCAGCCTTTATTATGAGCTCAAACTCCTGACATGGGGTTTGAACTCTCAGCCGTCTGACTGAGGTGAGAGTGCTTACTACTAACTGAGTCAGTTGCCTAATAATCAATTTACCCACATTCATATAATTTACTTTTATTTACTTTGTCAAATACAAAGTTCATGGAAACAGGAGTAACCATTCGGCCCATCAAATGCGCTATGCCATTAAGTCTTTGGTAGCTCTTTAATTCCATTTTCCCACATCTCTTAATATCCTTAATTTGGCGTGTATTCTTGCATCCATAGCTAAATCAAATGCATTATTTATCTCTATTGAATCCCATTTACTTCGAAATCTTTGAATATATTGGGTTTTCATGTCTCTTCACCATTTTAGCTGTAATTCCTCCATGTTTTGCTGGTGCCTCGCTGCTCAGTTACACTGTGACAAGTTGATTCCTAGTATATTGAGAACGATTGTAAAGATATTTGAAGGTAGGAATTCTAGGTGTGGAATCTAGGACAAGAGGACATAAATGTTAAAATCAGCTGGCATTTTGTGTAACTACACATATAGGAATCTACATACACTCCTATAATACTTTTTCACATAGGCATATAATATAGTATCAACACTGCTCCAAACACTCTGCTCCAGAGTACAGTACCATCACATGAGGGAATGGACTGTACGCTCTCCCATCCCACACTGCAGAAGTTAATTACCATACTGTTGTCATGGAGAAAGCCTTTTCCTACACAAATCTGCATGGGTCTCGTCTTTCAGACTCATGCATAACCCAATTGGTACTGCCTTTCTTTGCGTTCTGGTCTCTGTTCACTTGGAGTGTTGACTGTGTTTGTTTGCAGATTGAAAACCTGTTTGCCTGCCTGTTTTGAACTTCTCTTCTGCTACCGAACGTTCTTCTTAACTGCTAATGAGGTAAGAAACTTTCAAATTGCGTACGTATTCATATTCCGAATTTGGGGGATTTCTAATTATTGGATAGGGAGTTTTAAAATAAAACCACAGTAGTGAATCATGGTTTCTTACTGTAAAGTAACAATAAATAACTTTTATAACACCTTTATATCCCGGGTCCTGCTTGGACCTTTGTGCCCAAGGATTATTTTGCTTCATCATGCTGCAACATTCCGAAGTAGCAAAGATGAGATAAATTTGGATCAGGTATGAGTTGCGTACAGAATAAAGCTCCCTCAATATTTCTTATGCAGCACTCCCAAGGTTAGGTACAGCATGGGTTAGATACAACAGAAATCCACACACCAATTATCCACACAATCCGTTTTTCTACATTCAGCCTGTGACACACGGGCAAAACAAATCCAGTATATCACAGCAAAACAAATCATTTATGTAATGTTGCTAGGAAAATTATTTTGTTGCAAAATTCGAACATGACGTACAACTGCATTTTTTTTGCTATAACCATGCGGCCAGGGGGATGATTGCATCTGGCAAACTGTTACCAAACCCATTACCCGAGGCTCCATTATCCGTGCCCCTGCACCTTCTCCCATTGCCTGGGCTGTCTGTTATCAGTGCCCTTGGCTCTCAATCTCTGTACCCGGGTGCCCAATTTATTTCAGTATCTGCAACCCCAATGCTGGAAGCGCCTGAGGTGTGGAGGCACTGGCGGTAGCCAATCAAGAGAGCCTCGGTCTCAGCTGAAGAAAATTAGCTTTCATCCAGGACTTGATGTCTGACAGACACTCTTGTCAGGACAGAAGAGGTCCCGGAGTCGAGGGTGGAGGCAGAGAGGTACAGTTGGGTGTCATCCGCATGCATGTGGGAGTTGACCCCATGTCTGAGGATAATAAGTGGGAGCGTATAGATATTGAAGAGGAGGGGACCAAAGACAGAGCCTTCAAGAACTCATTATTTTGTTCATTGTTAGGGCTATTTAATTGTGTGCATTTTAATTCACTATTATTTCTTTCAGTTTCATTGTTTAATCTGGGTTTAATCATTATTATTGCATGTATGTACTTTATTGATAAGAGTATTATTGTTTTAAAAATTTGTATGAATTTCTACATTGCCTTGTTAGAGTTTGCATTGTAACTAAGATTTTGTGAAATTAAGTAATAACGTTACACAATTTAAAACATAGTATTTCTATACAATTCTTACGGGTTATATTTCTGGAATGAGACATAAAAATATTGCTTATGTGGCCCATGGTTTCTCAAGTCAGGTATTGGCCATCAGCAGCCAAAAGGTTGGACCACCCTGACATAGTTGATCCCTAGTGTTAATGTAATAAGCTATGAACATTGATTGGACAAGGTAGGGTTATTCAGTCTTGAGAGAAGATGACCTCATAGAGAGGTATACAATTTTAAATGGGATTGGAAAAGTAAATCCCCTTTGAATCACTCAGGTTTGTAACATTTTCCCTGACTACCTTCTTACTGATGTACTGTTGAAAGATTGTTTTGTGTCCCAAAGCGCTTCACTGAGGATTTACTGTGAAGTGACTGTAATTGTAGATGACTGCTGCAATCCCAATAGTGTATAGCAATTCAGTATACCTCCATACAGTTTCAGTCATAGTGACATAAGGGGGCTACTTATTAGAGGAGAGCAACAAGGATGATCCCCAGTGTTGATGGAATGAGATATGAATGGTGATTAGACAGTCTAGAGCTCTTCACTATTGAGAGGTGGCGACTCAGAGGGGATCAAATTTTTAAATGGGGTTGAAAAAGAAAATCCAAAACAAGAGAACATAGTTTTAGGGTTGTAAAGGACAATTTCAGAACACAAACCAGCAATTTTTTCTTTACCCAGTGGGTAATTAATGACTGGAACAGGTTGCCAAGAAGGGTGGTTGAGGCCAGGGCACTGGGACTCATTTAAAAAGCAGCTTGATGCCCTGATGGGAGGAATGTTGGATGGATATTCTGGAGGGTTGATATTGGATAGACACAAACCTATCGTGTGATATAGAGGAAGTTACGTAGCAAGAAAAAATATAGAATTTCTGAGAGTAGGAGAGAAGAGAGCATTGTGTGATGGTAAGCTGACAGTACGATCCTTATGGAACACTTTTTAGTTAGCACATTAGCCAAATTACATGTATCTTATTCAAATAAGCAAACAATCTGCATTGTTTGCTTATTTGCAGTGGACTGATGCCAAATAGTGCAGATAATCGATTCTACTGTAAAGAGTACAACCCCTTTTGTCTTGAACAATCAGCGTATGTTGTTTTGCGTCAGATTAAGTGTGTTAATTGTATGATTGACGCTAGAGTATAAATGATGCTTTGCTCCATTTAGAGCAGAACTGAAACTGCCCAGATGATTTCCAATGCTGCGTTTAGATTATATTACTGTGCTCGTTACACTCAGCGATGCTGATCTGGAGCATCACTCATGTGAGCAGCTGCAACCTTTATGTGCAAGTTTACGGGAGCTAGGAGGTGTCTGAATATTAGATTGTTTTATTCCTGCCATTTTTCATATTCCATTGTTATTACCTGTTAAAATCGGGGATGGGAGAGGAATGTTTGCTGAGAATGATGGGGAAGAAACAAGAGAATGTGGTGGTAGTGTACGTTTTGCATGTGTGCAGCATAAGTGACCGGCCAGACAGAACTGAGGTTTCAGCTTCCAGAAGCATTGGGAAGGGTCCAGCCTTGGCGCATTCAAAGTTAGGCCATGACTGTTTCATTGTGCTGGGTTTCTGGGGCTGGCAATCAGAATGCAGCCTCATCTGGTGCAGCAGCTAATCAGTTCAATGGCAAGAGGTTGGACTTGAGATGAATTTGGTTTGATGTTCATTTGATGCTGGGTATTGCCTGAGTGCACTGCTGCTTAATAATAATATAATAAATCTTGCATTGGTACAGTGCCTTTCACATCAAGAGAACGTCCCAAAGCGCTTCACTGAGGATTTACTGTGAAGTGACTGTATTTGTAGATGACTGCTGCAATCCCAATAGTGTATAGCAATGTCCCACAAACAGACAAACCTCTCTGTGTGAGAGGTTCCAAGTTGTTGGGCCATCCACCAGTAGGAGGTGGGCTTTCAGCCTTTTTGCCCCTTTCTCTGGAACTCCATCCCGGAGTGCTTCCGACTCTCTCTCCCTCTCACCTGGTTCAAGGTCTCAAGACCTACCTCATTGACTACTTTCAGTTATCTTTCCCCTCCACACCCTCCTCAGTTCCCTCCTCAGATTGGGTGCCAGCTCAGATTGGGTTCCCTCCTCAGATTGGGTGCCAGCCCATACTGTTAAGTACTTTGTCACATCCCCTCGACACAAAAGGCACAATATTAAATGTAAGTATAATTGTTACTCGCTGCTATTAACAGGGTATATAGAGGTGTTGGTAGCGTTAGGCTATATACAAATTCTTAACTGAGATTTATACTGAAATCTAGTCGAACTTTTCAACCAGTAAAATGAAACATGAGTTGAGAGGAGTGGCACATAACGTGCTGCTATTCCACTGGGCAGCGTCATATTGTGTTAGACCATTGGTTTACATATGATCAGGTGTTTTTCCTGCCACCTCAGCTGGTGCATAAGGGAGGTACCTTGCACCTTTGTGAGGAGGAAAAAGTGCTCTATTGTGGCCAGTCCTCGGAGCAGCATCAGAAGAAGCTGGAAGCAAATTATAAGTGTGCCTCTTCTGGTATTTTATCCTGATTCTTACCTCTTTCTCTTCAGTTTATTTCTAAATGGCCAAGATGAAGTTTAAACCAGTTAGAAAAAGTTACTCTTACAGACGGTCTCCAGCAGTTTCTATATTTGCTGGCTATCATAAGTTCCTAATGCTGGTGGAGTATTCACAGTTCCCTTGTGGAGCTTGTTATTTGTGGTAGTCTTAAAGGTGTAGCTGTTTTCAATTATTTGTAATCGGAGTCCTGACACACACTTGGCTTGAAAATGTGTACATTTAATCTGACCCTTTTTGGCAAGGTTGTCCAGGAATTACAACAGAAAGCTAATGTTATGCATGTTGCAGCAATATTTGTTGTGTCTCTGGGGCAGTGCCGCTGTACTGGCTGGGACTAGATTTACTGAGATCTGCTTGATCACTGGACTGGGTCCCACGGTGCTACTGGCAGCAAATTGGCAAATGCAAGACAGATAGGCAATTGCTTTAAAATAGCAGATGGCAAATTCATCTGTTCCTGCTGCTTGAGCCATCCCATACCTGCTGCCTTCTCTGCCGTGGGCTGAGCGGTGAGAGCAGCGTTTGCCATGAGCAGATGATATAGCAGTGTATAGCCTGGCTCAGTTGGTAGCATTTTTGCTTGAATCAGAGGGTTATAGGTTTCAGCACCATATTGGGATTTGGAACTTGAATAGTCTAAGGTGACACTCCAATGTAGTGCTGGGGATGTGCTGCATTGTTGGAGGTGCTGTCCCTCGGATGAGATGTTAAACGAGCGTCCGTCTACCTGTTCAGTTGGATGTTAAAGCTCCCATGGCACCATTCGAAAAGAGAAATGTGTTTCTCCCAGTGTCTTGGCCAACAATCCCCCAGATAAAATCGGTCATTCCAGTTATGGCTGTTTGTGGGATATTGTTTTGAACAAATTGGTTGCCACAAAATAGTCTTAAAAGTATGTATCCTGTGAAGCGCTTTGGGACATCCTCCTGATGTGAAAGGTGCTGTTTCAAATAAAGATTATTATTATAAGCTCATGTCCTGCTGGGTGCATTGTCTCTGGTAGAGAGTCTTGATTCAAGGACATTGTCACAGTGTTATGCCCCATTGTTAGTGCTTGATCAGTGTTCCTCACGTGTTGGTGCCATTCTGTTGTTAAGTCCAATGCAAGAGACTGCCTGATCAGTGCCATTGCAGATGTGTTAGCATTGTTCAGTGCCAGTCATTATCTGGTCATGGACTGGTTTGAAGCTCTTGGCTCCCAGAAGCTGAGCTCTTTCCATTGTTTTATGATGT